CTTGAAATGATTTCAATTTCCTTAATTTACTAAGACTTGTTTTGTGTCCTAACATGTGGTCTATCCTAGAAAATATTCCATGTGCACTTGAAAATAATGTATATCCTGCTGCTTTGGGGTGAAATGCTCTTAAGAAATCAATTAAATCCATCTGATCTAGTGTGTCATTTAAGGCCACCATTTCCTTGCTGACTTTCTGTCTTGAAGAAAGATCTATCCTTTGACATCAATGAGATGTTAAAATTCCCTGCTATGACTCTTCCGTCAAACCCCAGTTCTCGAACATGTCCCATCTTGAACAATCTGGTTCTTGGCTAAGTTGCTTATGGAAAAAATGTCTCATCAGTTGAACAAAACTTCAGTTCTCCACCTGACATCCCATTCATGCTGATACCTGTATGACCAACCATGCACCTCTCAGGCAACAAAGAAAGGCGATTTGGTTTTCGAAAAATTGCTTCATGAACAGTCTTTCCGAAAGAATTAAGTTCAAGGTTCCACCATATTACTGTCAATCTCTCCCTTTATGTCGATCAAGATTTGCTTTGCATATTTAGGTGCTCCTATGTTAAGTGCATAAATGTTCACCAGAGTTATATCCTCTTGTTTGATTGTTCCTTTTATCGTTATGTAGTGTCCTTCTTTGTTTCTTACTATAGCCTTTGTTTCAAAGTCTATTTTGTCAGATAGAAGTATTACTACTCCAGCTTTTTAAAATTTCCACTTGAACGAAATATCTTTTTCCATCCCTGTGTGTATCTTTCGTTCTGAGGTGGGTCTCTTGTTGACTGCATATATATATTGGTCTTGCTTTCTTATTCATTTAGCTATTCTATGTCTTTTGATTGGAGTATTTAAGCCATTTACATTAAAGGAATTATTGACAGGTACATATTAATGATATTTTATTCTTTTAACTTTCTTTCTCCCCCCCCCCCCCATTTCTTAAAGCAGGTCCTTTAACATTTCTTGTAATGCTAACTTGATGATAATGAAGTCCTTTAGTTTTTTCTGGTCTGGGAAGATCTTTATTTCTTCTTCGATTTTAAATGGTAGCCTTGTTGGGCAAAAATAATCTTGGTTGTAGGTCCTTGCCTTCCATCACTTTGAGTATTTCATGACAATCCCTTCTGGCCTGAAATGTTTCTGCTGAGATCAGCTGACAATCTCCTGAGAGCTCCCTTGCAGGTAATTATCTGCTTTTCTCTTGCTGCTTTTAAGATTCTCTTTGTCTATAACGTTTAGCATTTCAATTATGATGTGTCTTGGTGTGGACTCTTTCGGTTCATCTTGTTTGGGATTCTCTGTGCTTCATGGACGGGTTTTTTTTTTCCCCCTTCATCATGTTAGGCAAGTTTTCGTTCATTATTTCTTCAAATAGGTTCTCAATTCCTTGTTTTCTGTTCTCCTTCTGGTACCCCTATGATGCAGATATCGTTATACTTCACGTTGTCCCAAAAGCCCCTTAAACTATCCTCATTCTTTTTAATTCTCTTTTCCTTTCAATGCTCTGATTAGGTGTCTTCTCTATCTTGTCTTCCAAATCACTGATTCGATCCTCTCCTTCATCCAGCTTACTTTTAATTCCTTCCAGTGTATTCTTGATATTGGATATGGTATTCTTCATATCCGACTGGTTCTTTTTCATGGTTTCTATGTCCTTTTTCAGGCTGTTGTAGCTCTCACTAAGTTCCTTCAGCATCCTATAACTATTGCTTTGAATTCTGTATCTGATAGATTGCTTGCCTCCATTTCATTTGCTCTTTTTCTGGAGATTCCTCCTGTTCTTTCATTTGGGTCCTGTTTCTTTGTCTCCTCATTTTGGCTGTCTTTTTGTATTTGTCTCTCTGTGTTAGATAGATCTGCTATGACTCCCAGTCTTCATGGGGTTGCCTTATATAGTTGTCCTGTGGGACCCAGCAGTGCAATCTCCTTGAACTCTTGAGCTGGGTGCTCTAGGAATGTCCCTTGTGTGAGTTATACGGGCTCTTCTATTGTAATTGAGGCTTGATTGCTGTTGGCCTGTTCATGCATGGAATCAACCCTCAGTCTGGCTACAAGGTTCAACCCTGACCACAGCATGCCAGCTGCTGTAAAGGTGCTGACAAAAAAGAAAAGCAGTCTTGATATAGCTTCTTCTCCACTTCCTTGGTTATAAGAGTCCTCTTCAGCTTGTCTTTAGTTAGTTTTTCAGGGTGACTGTCCCCAATTTAGTCGTATTTCCAGTTTGGTCCTGGCAAAGGTGTGTTCAAGATCTAACTACTCCACTGCAATTTTGAAAAATCCTAAGTTTTTTGTTTTTGTTTTTAATAGTTCACAGGTCTCCAAGGTTTTTTTTTTTTTGTTTGTTTTTTTTAAATATTCTATTTTCTCTCTGTTGTTCAGACTGAGGAATCCTTATTGTTCTATCTTCAAGTTCACTGATTCTTTCTTCTTTCCATTCTGCTGTTGAACCTATTCACTGAGATTTTTGTTTTGGTTATTTTTCAATTCTAAAATTTACCTTTTATTTTTCTTTATATCTTCTGTTTCTTTAGTGAGACTTTCTATTTTTCCTTTGTTTCAAGTGTTCTACAATCACTCATTAAAGCATAATTCTAGTAACTGTGTCATCTTGGCGTCAGTGTCTCTTGATTGCCTTTTCTCATTCAAGTTCAGATTTTTCTGGCTGTTAACATGACAAATGATTTTCAATTGAAATCTGAATATTCTGCATATCATGATATGAGATGCTAAATCTTATTTAAATCTTAGAGAAGGCCTCCTTTGACACTACTCCAGTGGGAAGGGGGAAGGCTGATTCACTACTGGCCTTATTGCAAGATGACAGTAGAAACCCAGGCTCCCTACAAGGTCTCCACTGATACCACAGAGGTGGGAGGCCTCATTACCACCTGGTAAAGAACCAGCTCCCAGTGCCTTAATTGGCCTTCTCTAACACTACCCTGCCAGGGTGATTAGAGCACCTGATTAGGTCTTGGCAAGGGTGGAAATTTAGACTCTATACTCAGACTTTGCTGTCAGGGGTTGGGGTGGAGCCACAGTTCTGTGGTGTTTAGTTAGATTAGAGGGGTTACTGCCTAAAAGTTTTCTGCCTTGCTAAGCTGTCCCCTTCCTTGTCCTTGGGCTAGCAAAAACAGGTTTTTTTCTGGGGCTTTTTCACCATGTGCTTACTGGCATTTCCATATTGCTAATTTTTTTAACATCAAATCTTGGATATAGGAGGCAAAAAGAAAATCCTTGGAGCCTACTAGCATGTCATTCCTTGGGTACAGAGGCTCCTAGCCACACTGCCTGATTCTACTTTCAGTTTTCTCACATTTATTGTATAGATATTTTCAGCATTCTTAACTGTACTTACCACAAAGAACAGGGAAAAGAGACCTTAACTTCTTTATGAGTTTTTATAATTCCTTTTTCTATTTCTAAAGGAGTATCTGTTGTGTTCATTTACTCTGTATTCTTTCTAGGTTTGTCTTCAATTCTGAAATCATTTTAAAATTCTTTCCTAATGTCTATCATCTCATTTATGAATTTTTCTTGTTCTGATTATATTACTCTTTGATATCTTTTGCCATTTTCTTACTGTATTTTAGTTTGTTTTAGAATATTAAGTTGTAACTTTCATCAGTGAGCATATTTTTCTACTGTCTTTCAGGTATGAAAGAGTGTATTCTACTCCTAATTCTCTTTCTCATAATAACTTTCTATGAGATTTGACTGTGATATTTTTCTGTTGATTAATTTTAAGTAAAATTACTTTTTCCTGAATTTTTACAATAAGGGCTTCATTTGGGATAGTTTTCTAATTTCTCAGCTCTCTAGCTCACCCTTCTGTTATAGCATAGTGTTCTAATAGATGCAGTTTACTTGTCCAGATCTCATCGCTCTGTTTCCTTCCCTGTTATCTGATACTTTGTCTCTGTTGCCCTTATCCTGTTCAATTTGAATTCTCTTACCAGCAGTTTCTTCTCAGTGTGGAACTTTCTCCTGTAAAGAGACTTTAGCTGGTTCATTTTGAGAGTTAATAAGGCATAAATTGCTCCAGCCCCTTCAGATCCTACCACAGATCCCTTGAAATTACTCCACTGCTAGCATATGCAAAAATCTTCCAATTCCAGCAGCTATTTTCAAAGAGCTGGCTGAGCTTCCAAGTAAGTCTCTTCCAGGTGCACTGAATCCTGTCAGTGGACTCATTGCTTCCCTTTGCTTACTCCTGCACAGATGCTGATACCACACAGGTCTTACAGCTGTGATTGGTTTAGCCCTACCCATCTTTGTAGACATCTCCAACCAAGCTTTGTTGTTTGTGACCCATGTGTTTTTGTGTTTCCTAGTTGTTCTATGTGATTCAATGTCTATATTTGGGGGTCGGGGGGAGAGGCGGGATTTGGAAACTATGCCACCACTGCCGCATTTCCAGAATCCCTTAAAGACATATGATAGTTTTTGACAACCTTTAATAGAAAATGCCTAGAAACCACTGTCAGCACAAAATCAGCATAAGTATTGATAAATGTGTCCCAAAAGTCAATCTCCATAGCTAATTCCACTATGACAACATGTATTCTCCTTTCAAGATGAGTGGCAAGAGACCAGAAAATTGACCTTGAACTCTGGGAAGTATAAAACAATGACATAATTTCTACTAGTAAACTATAAATTTAAACATTTGATCTACAGATATGTTAATTAAATGAAGAGATAAAGTAATCCCCTATTTATATAGACCCTACTATATGTACTTAAGCAAAACAATGAGAGACAGTATCTGAAAAAGATGAACTATTGTTTATTACAATGAATTCTTTATAGTTCCCAATTTCAAAAACTAAGGATATATCAAAAAAAAAAGTCTGGGATACTACCAAAATATTAACAGAGATTTTCCACTGGCTAATGGAATTACTGATGATTTCTTTTCTTTTTGCTTATCTCTACTTTATACATTTCCAAAATGGAAAGCTAAGCCTCTTTAAAAAGTGTTTAAAACAACTTACGCAAGAACCATGCTGTAATCTGAGTGGTTGAACATATATCCTCCAACAACCCACATTATATTTCCATTGACCACAGCTTTGTGAGAGGCTCTGGGGAGCTTTGGGTTAGAATATTCCTCTTGAGTCCAAAATGACTGATTAGCTGGTACAGGAATTGAACATCCAGGACCTAATAAAATGTAATAAATTAGATTCACAAAATGCAGTTTTAATATTATTTCATTTCAAGTTTTAATCTTTTAAATGTAACAATTATCTAAAGAATAGTCTTTCCCTTTAGCATCTAGATATCAGACAAATCCCTTTAATTTGTGCTTTTAATTTCCTCAAACCTAGAGACCGACAGTAATCTCTCATAAAATTCAAAATCGCATACTTTTTAATGATGACCCAACCATATCCAGGTAAGGATTTTTTAGTATTCAAATGCTTGCTTTAACAGTCCTCAGAGGAAAGAGAGCAAAGGGATTATTAATTCAAATGAAAAAACCTTTAGGGCTAAAATGTAAAGACTAGTCTCAGGAGTAATAATACAATCTACCCATTTCCTGGAAAAGCAAGAAACTCCACTCTTGGGAGATCTGGCTTCTGCTGCAACATTTGCACAGTGGTACGTACTCGAATAGTTCAATTATTTACCTCCTTGATTTCAGCCAACTAAACAAATAGAGCATTTAAACAAGCACATTTCCTTCCACAATAAAAGCAGTCTGAGGAAAAGATAAATGTATAAAGGAAATCATTAAATCAGTATCACTGTTATCACCCATTCCTTTAAGAATTTGCTAAAGCTTCTGTAATAATTTTTATCTACAGATAGCTCCACCAGCTGACTACTTTAGAATTTTACTCTATATTGAAAGTTTCCGAGGAGACACTATTATTGTCAGTTTTTGTCCCACTTCCTAGCTTGGTTCTCTGCTATGTCTTCTTATGGCTAAGACTAAGTTTTCCAACCTCCATGAATGAATTGAAAAGAATGACAAACCCCTCTTCAATTCTAAAGAGACCACGACCACACATCTATGAAATTCAAAGATCTGTAAGAAGCTCAATAAAGAGACGTGAACATCTAAACACTATCTGATATGTGAATAACATAAAAGATATGATTGCTAGAAATAAAGTCAATTACAAGTTATTAAACTAGGAATATACTGTAAATTAAAAGAAGGATGAAAGCAGCTCTTACCTTGCCACTCTGAGAAACAGGAACATCCTCTGGCATCACTGGAATTGCAGATGCCTCGATGAGGAAAACCACAGTCATTTACACAGTGAGGAATTTCACATGCTTCGCCTTTCCAGTTTTCAGAACATTCACAGTGAACAGTGTTGCTGCTATTACTGATCTTACATTCTCCTTGGCCTGAGCAATTATTCGGACACATGTCAAAACTGTAAAAACAGTGGGAGAAAATTAAATCAAAACGAAGCAACACTTGAAATAATTCAGCAGAACTTCCTCATATGGGAGGTTTAAGAATGTCAGCCTCTCTATTCACAAGCCTAACTGCAGAACTTACCATTCAGCCTAAATAGGGTAACCCAACAACTGCATAGTTAGGGCAAGTAATGAAATTAAATTGCACTTGTTGAGTTCTCTTAAAAAAAACACAAATTTAAAAAATTACAAAGAGAGAAGAGATTCTTGCAAAATGTCCAGGCTTAGCTTCTCATGTGTGGCAAGACTATCCTATTCTTGGTAGCCCACAAATGATGAGCACTACGAAACTGCCAAATGCATGCTTCCAAGTTCGGAGAGGAAAAGGATGAAACAAACAGCCAAAAATATACTAATATCCTCATGGTATGTATATCCTTCTGGATAGTCTCTGAAAATTTATAGAATTTGTTAAAGATTATTGCCCAGATTGGTGTATTTAAAATTCCTTAGTAAATGTATCTATCTACTCACTTCAGATGGAAGGCCAGTTCAGTGACTTAATACAGGAGTTTAACTATACTGTATCTCATAATAACATGACTTAAGATAATTGTATTCACAGCACTTTGAAAAGACATACATCAGTTTTCAAAAAGGGGGAGGAAAACTGAACTACCAAGGTACTTTAAGAATGTAGATTTCTTCTAAGGCCTGTAAAGAAAACTGAAAAGAAATTTTGTAGCAAAACATGTCAAAATATCAGGAAACAGTTACAAAAACAAGCTAATTAATGTTCATGCCTACACACAAGTATCAGTTTATGATCTACTTATCATAAAATTTTATAAATATTTGTATACAATATTTTTATAATCTATATTATATGATCATTGAATTTGCCTACTTTTCAAGTCCCAGTAAGCAGAAAAAAGTATTTGGTAAAAAAGTTGAATGCTATTCCTGGAGGCCTCTAGAAAGTAGTGCCTAATACTTACACATAAGTAAAGCTTCAATAAAGGTCAATTTCATCTTTATTTAAAAAAAGGCCTTGTAAGGCAAAAACTTATCAAAGTCAAGTCTAAATTTCAGGTTGGACTTGTTATGTCAGAATAGCCACAACAATCACACTTCATTTTTATAAAAGGCCTAAAAGAAAACTGTGACAAGGCAATTCCATTATGTGCTCAAATCTATGCCTTATACCAAACATTTGTCAAATAATTTCTTACAGACACACTTATTAACCACATGGGAGAGTAGTACATAACTAACGCTTAATGTTATTGAAAAACAAAGGGGAGGAGGTAACTCATATAGCCTTTAAACTAAAGGAGGGAAAGTACCATTTTAACTTCCCCATAAACTTCAAACTCTCCACTCGAATGCTTTTAGGCATAGGTTTACTTTAAGCACCAAAATTAGTATTAAGCACTCACTCTTTACAGCAGTGAATTACATAATATCTCAAAACACAAAAATGACTTTTGTATCTCTAAAACGTAAAAATGGCCAGTAATGTCTGTTTGTATAACTGTCTAAACTGAAATAATAAGGAAATTAGTCTAACTTTATATTTAAAATGTGACTCAGAATGAGAAATAAGGTACAGTGCCAATTTGGGTGAAAATAAAATATAACTATTTTTTTCTTTTAAAAGAAAATTAAAAAACACATGAGAAACTGGGGGGGGGGGTCATGCCTCAAGGGCCCTCCAGCTGAGGTTAGCCCCAAGCTAAGGTTCAGTGCAACCTGAGGATACCAGGAAAATAAATGACAGTATTTTATGTATGTGCTTCTGGACATTTTTCTGGGATAAAAATCATCATTTTGTTTGGCTTTTCATAGGGTCTGGGACCCCTAAAATAGTTTAGGATTCCTTTTTAAAGAATAGAATAGAGAGTTGGAACAAAAAGCTAATAAAATTGACAATAACCTCATCATTCCTTCATTTAACAAATACTAATTGTGGTCTCTAGGAGAGATCAAGGCTTCTCCCTACACCAGTCAGGGTAAGAAAAGCATGCATTCCTGAAGAAGATACTGGCAATAGAGCAACAAGAGCTCTCAAGTGATGATGGGCAAAGGGCTTCCAATGTCAAGTGGTGTTTGAATTGCCTTCTCTCCTGAGGTGCTCACTCCCTTGAGTTTCTCTTCTCTCCCAAGGCTACTACTGAGCGGGGCCATTTAACGATGAAGCCTGTGTCCTCTAGCCCCTGACCTAGGAACCTTCCCAGAATGGGGCCTAAATGAATAACTAGTGCAATGTTACTCAGAATGAGGACCATAGAGAGACAGCAGCAGGAGCAGCTAGGAACAATTCAGAAATACAGATTCTCAGGCCACAGCTCTGCTGAACTACAATCCCTGGGTAGATCCCAGGAATGTGCCCTACTAAGCGCTCCAGAAGATCCCTGTGCATGTGAAATTTGAGAAGCCCTACCCTAAACCCACATTTCTCCTTCATCCTCTCCCCTTCAGAGAAGAAATTCAGTGTCCCATTCTTAATGCCAGGACTTTCTAAGCTTCCATCCCTACCAGGACCCTGACTCCAACCTCCCCAGCTAGGGTGACCTAGGACCTCCTCTGCTTACTCAACCTCACAGCTGTCAGCTTCCTCCTTCATGAGACTTTCTTCTCTGGGCTTCTGTGACAACAAAGCCCACTGGCATTCCTCTGCCCTTAACTGCCGCCACTATTCCTCTCTTCACTGTGCACATGCCCCACAGGCCAGTCAGTCACTGTCCACATCTCAGTGATTCCCAGATGACATCCCAGCCCTACCAGCAATTCTAAGGCCTAGATCCAAATACCAATGTTTTGCTTACACACCTCATATGTACCCAACCAAACTCTTCAGCCTCTCCCTTCAACCCAGCCTTTATGCCTGCCTGTGCCACTAAAAATCACCTTGCTGGTACTGTGATAAGCTGCCCATGCTGCCAAATCACAAACACTGGGCGCCTGAAAGACTGAATCACCATGCTAATCAAGATAGAGGTGGCTTTAAATCAGTCTGAATAAATACTGAGATTATGAGAAATGGGGCAGAAAAAGAACCCAACATAAAGGTTACATGTGGAAGTCACTGCCCATGCCAGGAGCTGGCAAACTTATTTTGTAAAAGGCCAAATAGTACTTGAGGGTCACAGAAGCTCTTTATCACACACTATTTGTTTGCTTATGGTATTTTATGAATTTAACTACTTATGAAAAGAAACTTTTTTTGGGGGGGGCCGTTGAAGTGATAGTGAGTTTATTAGTGAAGCAGTGAGACACAGACTGGGCTACTCCACAGACAGAGCAGCCCCACCTTTAGTGAAATCTTCTTCCTTTATTGAGGTTCATTTAACTGGGGATGGGGGATAGTATTTCTTAAGGGGAAAAAAAACAAAAGACAGAAGTTAGCCTCTCTCCTATCACAACAAATCCCAAAAGTTGCTGAACTTTGTAACCTTGATTAAGTTGTCATCAATGTTTCAACCACTGAGTACACGAAAATTATTACTATTTGTTAAATCGTACTTAGCAAAAATCCCCAATGTTTTGATTCATTTTACCAAGAAAATGTCCCTCTCTTCCAGGAGAAGATCAACAGCAGCAAGACCTGGGTTGAAACTGTGGTCCCAGCACTTAGACAATTTCCTTTACTGTTTCCCACTAGTTTCCTCAATTATAAAATGAGTAGAAAAACAGTGCTCATATTTCAGAGTTTTTAAAAAAACTTTAAATGAAAAATACATTCAAATTGCTTAGCATAATGTCTGGCATACCGTAAGCCCTCAATGTATGTTAGTGACTATTATTGTTAAAACAAAGTATACAGTCTTTTGAATAAAATCACAGATATTAGACGTAAATATCTTACTTGTAACTGATATTAAATCCAGTCAAATTATAAGCAGCATCACTAAAAAAATGCAGCAGGGCATAACCTGATGTGGCAACAACCTCAGGGACAGTCTCGTTGCTGTCTCTTTCGGGAACGATGAGGCCGCTGAAAGGAAAACACATTTCTTACAAAGGGAAACACAATCGCAGACATATCACGTGGTGGCAAACACAAATTCAGAGCTGGAATTCATCCTTATAATTTAAAAAAACCACATCCAAGAAGAGGGGCAACTTCCTGTGAGAAATGCATGGTGCTACCCTATCAATTCTGGATCCACTGAGGAACACATCAGATTCTTTTGCTAGGCTCTCCTTTATTCTGGGTTATATTTCTATTAAGATTTGAAATCAATAGCCCTACTCTTTTTTTTAATAAAAATGTTTATAATGCTTCTTTGAAACACTGAGTAAACCTTCTTTGTCAAATATATATTAGCAAAGACATGAAAAATAAAAACACAAGTAAGTAGGCTTGGTAAACACACACCCATAATTCCAACACTATTAGCATTCCAATATGTTTTCTTGGCCTAATTGATACCAGATTACAGTTTATATTCCATTTTACCAGTAATACACCATAAGCATTTCCCATGTCACTAAAAAGTCCCTTCAGAACTTCCATTATCTCACTCAGACTCTAGAATACAAAAACATTTGTTGGGCGCCTGAAGAGGGAAAGAATTAAGTCAAGGGGTCTAAATGATGGCTTTAAGGGACCCCAGGCTCACTGGTCCCTTTGCTTTCCCAGAGCACACACCAGGTAAACTCCCACCTCAGGCCTACAACAATCTTAAATGCTCATTCACTGTGATGTAGCAATTCTATTTATTTGTTAAAAAAAAAAACAAAAAAAAACCCACTTGCTCGTGTGCACAAAGACAAATATACAAGAATCCTTACTACTGTGCTATTTGGAAAGGCAATAGGTTCAAAACCACCTATCTATATATGTTCACCCATAGAGAGTAGGTTGAATGAATCATTACATCTCTAGGTCTGCACGACTAACAAGGAGCCTCATCAAGGGATTCTGGAAAGTGGTGGCGGGGCGGGGGGAGCTGCAAAACAATAGGCCTAGTAGATGTGTACATTTATGTGTTTATTTAAGTTCATATGAAAATGACTGGAAGAATATATAAGCAGGGTAAAAGGAGGAGAAGGGGACAAGATTTTCATTCAATGAGAATTTTTAATATGAGACAAAATGCTAGGAACCAGAGGACTCTGAAGATGCTCCAGAGGTTACGAAACAGTTAAGAATTTTCTACTATGTATTCGGCTAACAAATACTTACTAAGCACTTACTTGTGAGGCACTATTCTAGGCACCAAGAAGAACACAGTGAAGAAGTTCCTGCCCTCGTGGAGTTCACCCTACGAAAACAATAAGCCTAGATACAGCTCCTCCCCTCCTCCACCAGGTATGTATATATGCCAGGCAGAGAGAAACGCTATGAAGGGAAATAGAATAAAGTAAAAGAACAAAAGGTGCTACTTTAGACAGAGCAGGCAGGGAAGGCCTCTTGGAAGAGGCGGCATTTGATCAGTAACTAAAAGAAAGGTTTCAACTACCATCATGCTTTCATGAGTTTTATACACCTGAACCCCTTGAAATGCTGAAGGGACAAGTACTTACAAGAGCAGAGTCACCTAGAAATGGATCTGTCAAAATCAATTTTCCCATGAGAAATACTGGCACAGAAAAGGACTGGGACCTTCTGTCACATGTGGGAGACCCTGCACTCTGTTATCCTAGCACGAGCTTTAGGATCAGAGACGTGAGCTCTGATCTCTGCTCCACATGCCTGGGCATGTCACCGACATCTCTGAACCTCAGTTTCCTCAAATGTACAATGAGAGAAATCCTACCAACCTCACAGTGATGCAATGATAATCAAACTGTTAAAACATGGGAAGTGCTTAAGTAGTGCCCCACTCTAGGTGCTCTAAGTGACAGCTAATGGTATTTATTATTTATCTGTGGTGGGGACAGTTCAGTATGTAGGATGAATGACAGAATGGGTGAAGGGAGAAAGCGTGAATCACACAAGGGACAGGCGGGCCATCTGTACTAGACAACTACAATGCTGGAGAAGGGATCAGCTTCCCGACTGTCAGAGAACTCAGGCATTTGTGTCTTTTCACTTCAAAAACTTGAAATTGTGACACCTCTGGAATGTGCTGCTTTCTCCTAGTGCAAAAATAAAACAACTAGTTTATGACAAAAAAATAAACTTTTACAGGGTAAATGAACACAAACACAGCCTCAACCCTGTGTGCAAGGCAATGGAAGTGTGTGGGTGAGAAAGTGATGCTGCAGGCGTGCCATTCACCTTGGCCCTGAGCCGCCTCACACGTCCTTTTCCCTTGCCCCTAAGCAGACAGATAAATGCAGAGACAGCCTAGGTTGCAGCCAACTGTTCAACTTCAGCAGATCAAGAACTGCCTGCCTTGGGGTTCTTCATAATCTTACATTTTAAGCACAGAGTTTTTAACTGTTTAGAACCACTTTTAAAAATCACTTAACTAAAATATTTTAATTCACGGTAACCGTCCCAGACAGATGGGGGCTCTCTGAATACACCTATCGCACAACCTGAACTTACCAACTACACTATATAAGTTTATTAGTACTCCTCGGTTTGACACACCCGTCTCCTTGTAAGACTATATGCTCCCCACCCTGACCGGTGTGGCTCAGTTGGCTGGGCACCGTCCCGCAAAGCAAAAGTTCACCAGTATGATCCCCGGTCAAGGCACACGCCTGGCTTGCAGGTTCAGTCCCCAGTTGAGGCATGTAGGAGAGACAACCAATTGATATTTCTCTCCCTCTCTTCCTTGCTCTCTAAAATAAGTAAATAAAAGTCTCTGACAACCTTCTCTAACTGTGCCGTGGTCTGACCACAGTTTCGGTTGGGTGCTGGACAGGCTGGATGACTCCCACTTTCGCAAGGCTTCCTCTAACAGCTCTTCATCTCAGTCTAAACAACTACCTGGCCTAGCAACATCTGACTTTCTTTAAAACAAAAAACAAAAATCCTCTAAAAGCAATAATGTTCTTTCGAAGAATGTCCTCAGAGAGTAAAAACATCTCTGCATCTCCCTACCAATAGACCCTAGCAGAAAAACTGCTCTACAGTGGCGCTATATTTATGCATTTGTTGACGTGAATGCATCACAAAAATCACAATGTTGCAGAACTGGAAGAGACTTGCTCCAGTGATTCTAAATTTGCCTGGTAATGGAACTGTGTTTATTAAAACAAATTTTATTCAGAACTTCAATATATATGAGACAAATGTGATCAACCAGTTTGAAGTCAAATTAAACTTCATAGTTTGCAATACACCCAGGAAAAAAACACAGTATAACAGCTTCATTTTAGGTTTTAGAAGCTGAAGTCTAGAGCACTTATAGAACCTGTTCAAGTTCACACAGAAACTTAAGCAGAACTCAGATCTTCTGAATCCTGTGTGATTCTTTTCTTCTTTATTGGCTGAACAATCTGCCTCCAGGCTCTCTCCTTGCAAGGCCCACAGCACATCACCCCTGGGTTGACTCCTCTATCCAGGTCTTCCTGACTCAACAGCACCCCTCAGCTGCCATCTTGTGACTGGGCCTGTAGGCCTAAACATTGGTTTCCAAATTGTTCTCCATATCTCTGCTTTAGAGGTTTTGCATTTCAAGTAAACTTCAGTTTTAAAACATATCTTTTCTTACTACAATTTTAGAAAAATCATGCTCAAATACTATGCCATAAGTTAAATTTTAACATTTTCAATGGATTAATTAGTACTATCGTTAACCAAGTTTTTTGTAGATACCTAAAATTTTTCCCTTTATCTGTACATATACTGTGGTTTCTCCCAAAAGCTGTTACTTAGGACAACTACAGCCTTCTGCTTGCTTTATTGTTGCTGTTGATTCACATGTATGCTCATCAAATACCCAGTCCATGTGAACCACAGGACCGATCATGTACACCTGCCTGGCTGATGTTCCCACAGGGTTAATGGCAAGCTGACTCAAAGTGCCCAGGACATAGTAGGGACTCCATTAATTTGGATTAACACACTCAGTATCAAGAGAACCCCCAATAAGTACAATCATGATAACATGATCATCATGATATCGTGATACTATTGGTAGTCTGGGGGCTTATGTTAAAGTTTGGCGTGCCTCTTGCTATAATGCAAGGTATGCTTCAAATTCTGGCATAAAGATATGTATGGCTCAACACTTAGCAAAATGACATTTTAATGCTTAGCACGGCCTATCCATCCTGCTCTTTGGCCTTATAAGTAAATCTTTGAAACTGGTTCTTAGTTCAAAGATATGTTAGAGAGATGTCTAAGCCAAAGGGAGGGAAGAAATACAAGGGTACATCAGTCCCATGTCCTTTGTGTCGCCTGTGTCCTTTGGTAATTCATGTACTGTTTACTCTGTTACTTGCTCATCCACATCAGAATAGTCTCATGTGAGGAATACAAAAAATATTTGTTGAATTGATTTCTATTTACAGTCAAGGAGATAAAATATTTGAGGGAAAAATATCCAGAAAGTGAGCCACAACGGAAAAACTGGCAACTATGGCTCTCTAAGGAGATGTGTATCTCAGAAAAATATTATTTTATAAACCTATCAAGCAAATGGAAGAAAAGTAGGATGGTTCTGATTCCCCATGTGGTCAAAAAGACAATAACATAGCCACATATTGTTAATAAAAATTAAAATGTCAAAAACAATTCAGAACACGCCATATATTTGTTATTAAGCTATTTTCTTTAACTACTAATATAGAATATATTTGTTGAAAACAAAATCACAATACATAATTGGTATATTCCTCATTCTCCTCAGATAACCACTGTTCATTTTCTGTGTATTCTTCCAATAGTTTCCCTCACTCATATTAATGCATATACATAAACGCACACACCCCTCTGTATCAGAATTCAACAAATACCCCTTGAAGGCCTACGTAATGAGGAACCCAACAAGGATTAAGATGAATGTAATCCCTGATTTAATTTTTTCACAGAAATATTATTATTCAATATATTACTCACAAAACAATTTTAAAATGTAAACTTCACCACCATGAGAAGTAAATGAGTGATACAACTATCACAACCATACAGAGCAGGAAAATAAAAAGAGAGGTCAAGTACTCTGCTCAGAAACTTACCTAGTAGCTACAGGAAACCAAGTCAGGCCTCCAGAACTAGTACTCTTCTCATGAAATAATGTGTTAAGGAATAATAAAGGTGAGTCAGTAAGAATGCAATCTAGAAGATACATTTGAATTCAGAAATCATATGATTAACTACTTATATGAGTGAGCTTACCTAAAGGCAGCAATTAGTGGTGCATAAACTGAGTCCCCGTCATAAACATATAAATGGTCCCAACTACACTCTGTAGCAAAATGATTGAAACGAAGTCTCATTATTTTATTTGGCCTGAAAAAAAAAGTAATGTATAATAATCATAACTATCAAACATTTGAAAAAATATATAGGTAGAATTTTTAAAGAATTTACAGAGAGAAGATATTAATAGTAAACAGCATTATTCCTTTATTTGTCAAAGATCTACTTAGTATTTACTACGTGCAAGAGAACACTTAACATGCAATAATACACAAAATAGACATGGTCGATGCCTCTTTGGTCCTTACAGTCCATACAGTAGCAGCCATTCATTAACAGCCTCTGAACCAACCCACTAGCCCTTCCATTTCTGCACTTCCTTATTCAACTTAAGACCCCACACTACATCATTTCACAAACACACCTGACAATTCTCTAAACTGACCTGCCCCTCTGACTTTTCATAGAACTACCTGGCAAAAGTCCTGGTCTAGAGGAAGACAGTTACGTGCTTTGACTTAAACTGAATCCAAAGAAAACTAAGCCGTGCCAGAAAAAAGTCACACCACTGTGTAGGCCAGTTCCACTATTGGTCACTGCTCGCCAACTTTAAATGGCACTTCAATTCTGCCAGCAGTCCTACTACTATCTCCCTCCACGAATTACTACTTCAGATCATTCTGTCCCACCTCCCTGCTTATGCTCAGCACTCAGGCAAAAATCTCTCTAATTCCCATTCTCCAAAACGTACACCTACCTTCTCCTCCTTCCATCTCCCTCTCATCTGGAACTTCTACAGCCGTATTCAAATCTCCTTAAGTATCAGATATTTTACAAAAACCCCCATAATACATAAGGTTTAGAGCTCAACTCTCTTTTTAGCTCTTACCCTGTCCTATCCCTTTCTCCTCTAGAGTGAAACTCTACAGAAGACTGGGCCTTCTCCATTTCTTCATATCCCACTCACCCCTTCATTCTCCAACCCGGCTTCAGCTCAAACACTCCACCCATAAAGCTCTTGGGATTAGCAACACCATTTAGTTCCTGCTGAAGCCTAATTGTATGTCTCCAGCCTAGACTTTTCCTTTACCTCACACTTATTTGTCTAACTAACATCTCTAAGGAAACAACTAAATAAATACATAAACAGGTTAACTCAGATGGTGATGAGTATCTGTGAAGAAATTAAAGGAAGTATGATATGTTAGTACAAAAGGTGGTGGGGAAATACCACAGAAAGCTTTGGAGGAGATCAGAATGACAAGAGATAAGCCATGTGAAAGGCTTGGAAACAATGTTTTAGACAGAAGAAACAGCACCATTGTGTAAAGTCTGGGGAAAAAAGAAGTTATGTGACTTGATGTGTAGGAGCAGTAAGAAAATCAGCTTGTCTGAAACAGCAATTCAGGGGACCACATGCGATAAGAAGTGAGAAGCGTGTAGGGGGCAAAAGTGAAAATCAAAAGGCCACTTTCAAGGCTATTACCAGAGGCCCAGGAAAGTCAGGATGGTGGTTCTTAATTGCAGAGATGAATATGAAAAGAAGATTGTAAATGGATTTGGGGATATTCTAGAGGGAAGCTGGACAGAACTTACTGATAGGCTGAATGTGGGGATAAGAGAAAGGAGAAATTATCGGTTAGGCTGAGGAGGAACAACCATTGAGATCACATGCAGAGCAATAGTGGAGAAGATTGTCTTGGCCGGATTGGCTCAGTGGATTGAGTGCTGGCCCAGGAATCAAAGGGTTGCCGGTTCGATTCTCAGTCAGGGGCACATTCTTGGCTTGCGGGCCAAGTCCCCAGTAGGGGGCACCCCCAAGGCAACCACATATTGACGTCTCTCTCCCTCTTTTTCTCCCTCCCTTCCCTCTCGAAAAATAAATAAATAAAATCTTTAAAAAAAAAATAGTGGAGGACACCAAATGGGAATGAACTGACAGAAAAAGGTCAAGGGCAGACAATAGACCACAAGTTCTCAGAGTGATGTGCACAGGACACCAGGGCCCTGAGACCCTTTTAGGGGGCCCAACAGGTCAAAACTGTTCACAATAATTAGTACTAAGCTATCATGTGCCTTATCACTATGTTGGCATTTACTAATGGTGCAAGAGCAATAGTGCGTGTAACTGCTGGCGCCTAGTAATGTAAAGACAGTAGCACCAAATTGTACTAGTAATCACTGTTATTCTTCACTACTACTCTCGTAGAAAAGAAGAAAAAATGACAGTGTCATTTAAGGATATCTTTATTACATGGTAAAAATTATTAATTTTATTAATAGTACACATCTTTTTAATATTCTGCATGCCAAGATGGGAAGCATGCACAAAGCACTTCTGCTACCTAACAAAGTACAATAGTCTCAAGGAAAATCACTTTTGTAATTGTTTGAGTTGTGAGCTGAACTTGTTGCTTTTCTTTTAGAACACCATTTATCATTTTTACTTGAAAGAGCAGCTGATTAACTATGGTTTTTCAGACCTGGACATACGGCAGATATTTTCTTGAAAATGAACAAAGCCCGTTACTTCAAAGAAAACAACTGGCAGTATTTGTTACCAAAGATAAAATACAAACTTTCAAGAAATAATTAGAGCTTTGGGAAATTGGTATCTGCCACCCAAATACAACTTTCCAGTATTTAAAACTTTCTGATGAGATTGATGGTGATATTAACTGATGTGATTTTTTTAATTGATTTTAGAGAGAGAGGGAGGGAGTGATGGAGGGAGGGATGGGGAAGATGGGGAGGAGAGATAGACAGACAGACAGACACCGATTTTTTTGTTCCACTTATTTGTGCCTTCATTGGCTGACTCTCCTATGTGCCCTGAGTGGGAACTGAACCCATAAACTTGGAGTATTGGCATGATGCTCTAATCAACTGAGCTACCTGGCCAAGGCCCAATGGGATATTTTTAATATTATAGTAATGAACTATATCAACATTTGGAAGATTTGCATAATTCAGTGAACCAATATTTTCCAAATGTCCCACAAATCACATTACAAAAACAATGCACAGGCCAGAGATCCATTCAAAGTACAAGAAAACTAATTAATTTTAATTTAACAAATTCCAATGCTTTATTCACATTGTTTCTGATTCCACACTACAATTCACTTTTAATAAATTACCACTTGTCAAGTTTTAGTATAGTATCAAAGACCATCCACAATTATTTAAAAGGGCTATGAAAACCCGTTCCCTTTCCCTACTACATTTTAAGTAAAGCTTAATTTTCTTCACATGCTTCTACCACAGTAACTTATTGTAACAAAGTAAATGCAGAAGAAAATATGATAATCCAGCTGACTTCTATAAATCCAGAGAAGAGACTTACAAAAATGTAAAGCAATGCCCTTCTTTTCACTGACCTTTTTAAGTACAAGGTGTTTTTTTTTTTCCATTAAATATGTCATTTGTGCTAATGCACAGTGGGTTTATTATTGCTGTTTTTAAACTGAATTAAATAATATTTGTTGCTTTTGATTTTTAATATGGTAAACACACAAAAAATTATTTGGAATTCTATAAATTTAAGACTGTACTGAGGTCCTGAGACCAAAAAATTTGAGAAACACCGCTTTAAAGGTGTACAGAAGGTAAGAAAAAGAAGGCAACTGCTGGAGGGGCACAGGAGCCCAAACAAGGAGTTGTTTGGGTGGTAACAGTTATTCTGACTTTCCTCCCCACCACAAACACAGGTACTCAGAAAAAGGACACTACATTACAGTTTTCTAATGCTTTAAGTAAATCATTTAAAATACTCAACAGTTTTTTAACTACTACAATTGAAAATACACCAATTTCTGGTGTGTACAATTCATCTGCAGTCTTAAATCAACACAAAAGCTTTTTGTTAAGTAACAATGAAGATTTACAGAAAATAAATCAAATTTACTTGCAAACTAAGAAGTTACCAAATAAAAATATATTTTAAGTACTGCCCTCAAGGCGTGGCTCAGTGGATTGCAAACCAAAGGGTCGTCAGTTCGATTCTCAGTCTGGGCATATGCCTGGGCTGTGAGCCAGGTCCCTAGTAGGGGGTGCTTGAGAGGCAAACATACATTGATGTTTCTCTCCCTCTTTTCCTCTCTCTTTTCCCCTCTCTAAAAGTACATAAATAAAATCTTTTTTAAAACATATTTTAAATGCTTTTTTCTACAGACTGTTAATTTTACTTATAGGAAACGTAATGTCACACTGAGCTCTATCCTGAAAAAAATTAAAGTAGCCATTAGTACTTACTGTCCTTCAATGAGCCATGTGCACTTCGTTTTATATTTATAATTTCCAGGTCCATCTGTTATAAACCCAGAAGATCCAGTTAGTCTATAATTAAAAAACAAACAAATAAATCCATCAAAATTTTATATATTAATAATATCTTTCTTAACTCTCAATACAATCCAAGTTAGGCATAGTGAGTACATGAATGCATACTATTGATATATAACCAGAAGAAAATATTGGATAGTTATATTCAGATTACACAAATATAGATGAAACGAATACATACATTTAAGGAGACAAATATACTAAAACTAACACAAATGAACAAAAAACATCTAAATCTTTCCAGGTAAGATGGGAAAATTGTACTTTGTATATAAAAATGGACACAAGAACTTACTTATGAGTTGTTTTTTAAAAATAGGATCACACAGTAACAGTTACAGATATTTACTACAATAACACTATAGGCAGCATAACTGTGATGAGCCAAACATATCAGATGCCACGACACGTAACAGATCCATCATAGCCATTTAAGATGCTGCTTCCGAAGTGGCCATCCGTAACCATCCATGAGCAGTGTACGTCAGGACCAGTCTTCCCACACTGATGCCAAGCCTGAAGTTCAGCAACATGTTGAGGTCTTGCCATTAAGACAGGCATATCGTAGTATTTCATTAATGTTTTGACTAGTACTAGCCCTACTGTTTGAATCTTCTCATCTGTTTTATTCATTTGCATTTCCCTCTTTGTGAATTCAGATTCCATATTCTTTGCCCAGTATGGGACCAAACTGCCTTTTCTAATTAATATTTAGAAGCTCTTTTTATATTAAGGAGCTCCAATTTGTATGTTAAATGTACTATAAGGTTATTTTCTCAGTGTACTTTTTTCTTTATACTTTGTGTCTGGTATATTTTGTTATATAGAAATTTTTATTATTTAAGAAGGATGCTATTTCCTTCCTTAATGCTGTTTCCAGGTCATTTTTCCTCCCTCTTCTATCAACAATATCAGCCTTTCTGAAACAGATGCTTTTCTGGATCAGCCTCCCTCACTTTTTTAAACATCTCCTGAAATCTCAGTTACTCCTCCTCATCCACTGAAGACATTAGCAACAAGTTCACTGCCTTCCACTTAACTACATCAACATCCAAGATGTTCCATCCAAAACTCAGACTCTCTACTTCTTAAACTCATCATTAACGATACTTCCTCTACCCCATCTTTGTTACTCATGCCCCTAGGTTTTGTCATTAGCAGTAAAAGCACTACCACCAAAATCTTCCTTTTAGGTGTCCTATACTCCTATACTGACTGCCATCTCTTACCTCTGCAGTTCATTTAGGCTTCTTCCTCCTTCCCAGTGAGTCAACAGCCCCATGAGGACCTCCAACCCACTAAACTAACACTTCCCCATGTTCATCCCCCAATACCCACACATTCACTCTCCCACTTCCCTAGTTAAGAAAGTTCCATGGTCTATCACAATTAACATGCCCTGAAAATCCCTTGATTTCTTTGCCCTTCTCTCTCTCTACTATACTTAACTGATACAAAAGTCTGTGTCTTACTCCCCAACATCTCTTCCACCTCCAAAATGTTAGTCTGCGAGACAGTAACGGTTTCCTGTGTTCTCTGCCAATAATTTATTAGAAACATGTATCAGTTAAGATTAGGTTCTAATGCAACTGACAGAAAAACCTAAACAGTAATGGCTTAACTGAGATATAAAGTCCAAAGATAAGCAATCCAGTGCATTTCCATAATCATCAGGGACCTAATATTCTTCTACCTTGTTGCTCTGTCATCCTCAACAGGTTGCTTCCACCTCATAATCCAAGATGGCTGCGCAAACTCCAGCTGTTATTCCCACATTCTACCCAGCAGGAAGGAGGCAAAGAAAAACAAGCATATATCCTCTCAAGTCAAACTCGACAATTCAACTTAACCATTAGTCAAAAGTTAGACAAATCTAAATACAGAGGCTGAGAAATATAGCCATTACCCTCAGATGCCATGTATCCAAAGAAAACCAGGACTTTCTTTACTAGAGAAGTGGAGAAAGACTATGAACGGTCATTATCAGTCTTTGTTACAACATGTAATCTAACACTTAAATGTGAGAGGAAGTTGATTAAGGACTTCTAGGAAGTATTTTCTGATTCTTAGGGACAGCGTGGTAGAGAGATGTGCCACCCAGATCTCCTCTTCAAGGAAGGACTTGCTCCAGCTGCTGCAGGGAGTGTGGTCACCAGATAGCCTCCAGCTACCAGTTTCTTCAGGAGCTTCCTTCTCAAGGCAGCCCATACCAGAGTGGGTACAGAGGCTGGGGCAATTCAACCCAACAAGAACAACTCTGACAAGCAATCCCTGCTCCAGAGCGCCCCTTGATCAGGCCTGCATTAAAGCTCTTCTTTTGCCCAGTTCTCCTTCCAAACCCTTCCTCTCAGTTGTTATAACCAACTTGTACCCCAAACTCCATCTCAGCAAATGCTTCCAAGAAACCCTACCTACTACAGACATTCAGGTGGAACATTCTTCTTCCTCTGGACTTTGCTTCAGTTGGATTTTTCAGCTGGAAGTACTACAGCCTGAACACAAAGCCAAGATCAAGGACAACAAATCAAAGGAAGGCAAAGGTCCCTGAAGAGTAAAATGAACCAACCAAAGAGACCACCCAGTTTTATGGGTAATTAAATTTCCCACTGGTTACTGTTAGAGAAAGAGAGCAAGAACAAACATAGGCACACTCTTCCTTAATTCTTAGTTTTAGGCTCTCATACCTCAAAAAGTTTATGGCTTCTGATTATGCCTGTTTTGCTCCTAAAAGTTTCTATGGGCTTCATATGGACATGTTTAGGTATTTGCAAATATGCATCACTTTTAGAAAAGAAATGGGTTATTTTTATTTCAAATGTTTACTTAGTATCATTAAACATGCACATTTACATAATTTTACAAGTAATGGATAGATAATCACAGGCCCCTTTTTTTTTTTTTTTTTTGTCAACTAAAGAATATTCTTCTCAGGTACACCCACCTACCCCTGGCCAAGATAAACATTTAACCACTAGCATGCATTCTTAACTATTTTTCTTCACACTCATGAGACCATGAATTCATCTTCTTTTTATGGAGCATAATACTCCAACCTATAAGGTATCTTTTTTGTTTCTGCCTCTCTCCCACTAACATTCATTTTGTTTTCAGCTGGTTGGCATTCTGCACACTGCTGCAATAAATACCCCTATACATGTGGCCTTATTTGTGCTTTTATTTCTAAGAATAGAATCTTAGGAGGAAGTTGACTGGGCCAAAATGAGTATGAATTTTAATTGTTAACCAGGCTGCCAAATTTATTTTCCCAAAGGCCGTAACAATTCAGATTTGCACCTGCAATATGTGTAAATATTCTATTTTCCACATCCCTTTGTATTAGGTGGTGTTTCTATTAAATTTTACCAGTGCTCAATTTGAAATCCCCTGTGTTCTAGAATGACCAGTAAGTGGTTACTGGACATTCAGAAAGGTTTGAAAGGAGAAGGCCAGGAATATCAACCTAAAATTTCAGGTCAAGTTTTATAGTATTTTTAGAGATATTATTTGTTTTATATGTTTCACTACTTCTTATTCTTCTGTTTCTCTCTTTTCGCCTTCCTCTGGGGTCACCTGAACATTTTTTAAGATTCTATCTTAACTTATTCCTATTGTTTTTATTTTTGTATAGTTTCCTTGATGGTTACACTAGGTATTAGAGTACACATATGTGACTTATATTTACTGGTAATAACATGTTACCACCTTGAGCAGAGTGTGCAAACCTCACTTCTATTTAGGTGCTTTATCTTCCCTATTATAAATATCATTTTTAGTATCAGATGGTTTTATATTTTTTGATTCAATAATCATATTTGATTGCTAAATCTCAGGATGAAAAAGATTCTATTATTGTATCCATATTTCTGCTCTCTCCATAATTCTTTCTTTTCTGGTGCTCTAAGATGCATTTCTTTTTCATTTATCTGTTCAAAGAACTTCTGTTAGTCATTCTTAAAGGGTAGGTCAGCTAGGAACAAATTCTTTTAGTTTTCAATCACTTGGGAATGTTTTTATTCCCTTTTAATTCCTGAGGGACAGTTTTGCTAGAAACAGAATTCCTTTTATTTTAGCATTTGAAAAATACTGTGCCACTTTCTCTGATAGCATGGTTTCAAATAAGACATCTGTTGTTTGAACTGGAGTTCCCTATAGGTAAAATAACTCTTTCTTTGCCTTTAGTTTATTCGCCATTTTTTCCCACTGATCTATTTGTTTATTCTTTCACCAATACCACATTATCATGATTACTGTAGCTGTCTAGTTAAGTCTTGATGTCGGATAGTGTCAGTCTTCAATACTATGTTGGCTATGCCGCGTTTTACGTCTTCCTGTAGCCTTTGGAATCAGTTTGTCAATATCCACAAAACAACTTGTGGAATTATGATTGGGATTGTGTTTAATTTATAGATCAAATTGGGATATCTTGACAATAATGAGTTTTCCTATCCATGAACAGGAAATATCTCTCCATTTAGTTCTTTTCATTTTGTTCATCAGTTTTGTAGTTTTCCTCATATAGATTTTGTACATATTTTGTCAGATCTATACCTAAGTATTTCATTTTGGGGGCTGCTAACATAAATGGTAAATTGTGTTTCTAATTTCAAATTCCACTTGTTCATTGCTTGTATACAGGAAAGCAACTGACTTCTAAATATTGACCTTGTTGTATCTGTGCCTTTTGACTTCAGTCTGTAGTTTGCCAAATTTGGTAAATTTTCAGACATGATTTCTTTCAAATACTCTTTCAATCCCATTCAATTTCTCCTTTCCCTCTGGGACTCCAAGTAAATGAATGTTCTGTTCCTTGGGTCTTTATTTTTTTCTATTCTGTTTTCTCCCTGTTGTTTACACTGGGTAAATTCTATTGTTCTGTTCCCAAGTTTACTGATTCTATCCTCTGTTATTATCACTCTACTATTAAACTCCTTTAGTGAGTTTGTTACTGTGTTTTTCAATTTTAAAATTTACATTTGGTTCTAATTTCATTACTA